TTAACCCGCTGCACCGTAGCGCTGGCCCCCTTTCTAACTTTCAAATAAAATGAAAGTAGGTAAATATTCTTAAAATTGTGATGGGGTGTCCAGGGTAGGGCTGGATTAGGTTTTGAAGTTGCCATCAAAGCCGCAAAGCAAGGGTAGGCTTAGCTGCAAGGTCTGTGGGAGCGTGGGGCTGGCACAGAGGAGCTGCTTGCGTTGGTCTCCTTTCCGTCACCTGAGAAGGCTAACTCTTCGGCTCACAGTTTTGGGGGTTCAGATCCAAGATTGGGCGGCCCCACTGACTTGGTCTGTGATGATGGTGACAGTGGTAGAGGGTGGAGATGGGGCAGGAGGGTCACCTGGCCAGCCAGGCAGCAGAGAGAGCAGCTGGCTCCAAACAGGCTTTAACCCACCCCCTCTCAAGGCACGTCCCCAAGGACCTAGGCCCACCTCGTGAACAATTGCATTTCCATTTTCTCCGTACCATTAACATCTGATTTGGAGTTTAAATCTCTACTTGTTTATTTGAAAAGCAAAAAAAGAAAGAGATCTCATCCACTAGTTCACTCCCGAAATGCCCACAACAGTCAGGACCGGGCCGGGCCAAAGCCAGGAACCTGGAACTCCATCCGGGTCTCCCACACAAGTGGCAGGGGCCCACTCACCTGAGCCATCACCTGCTGTCCCCCAGGATGTGCACCGGCAGGAAGCTGGAATGGGGAGCGAGGCCAGGACTCTGCTCCAGGGGCTCCGATGTGGGGTGCTAGCATCCCAAGCAGCGTCCTAACCGCTCCATAAATACCCGCCCCTGTCGCTCCCCCTCTTCGTGGAGGAACGACACTAAACCCTGCCTAGGCTTCATATCCGAGTCACGGCACCATTATGTCGCTCCCCGTCTTCGTGGAGGAACGACACAGGACCCTGCACTGTTCTTTCGTCTGCTCGGCCCTCCCCGGGTTTGCTGCTGGTTCTTCCCGGGTTGGCTACTATCCCTTCCACCTCCGTGGAAGGGCAGTTCCCCCTGGCCACATTCCCCACTTCCGCAGGGGAGCGGCACACCGCCGGCCGGTTCTCTCGGGGGCTGCACGGGTTCCCTTAGATGTTCCCCATAGATGTTCCTGATGCATGCCGTCTCTCTCCTCCTTTATAGTCCTCCTCCGCCAATCCCAACTCGGCTGCCCACACGCCGAGCACGCTGCTCTCCTCCAATCAGCAGCAAGTCCCACAGTTTATTGGTTGAACTGGAGGCAGCTGTGCGGAAGCTGTTTACTTCTCTCCCAGCGCCATATTGTGGGAGAGCAGATGCATAGAATAAGTCTTAATTCTAGTAACAGTCTAGTCCAGTTTGCTCCCCACATGCCCCTAATCTGGGAGACTAACGCATGCTGCACTTGAATCTGAAACAAGCCGCATAAGACCCGCCTGGAACCCACTGCAGGTGGAGGATGCAGGTGGCACAGTTCTGGGAGAAACGCTGGAATTGCAGGCACACTGGTAGGCTGCTGGGAGGACAAAACCCTCGCACTACCTCCCCCTGCAGGGCTGGCAGGGGGAAGGGCGGACCGGAGCCCCTGGGCACTGAACAAGCCTCAGGCAGTGTCTTCAATGGAAAAGCCAGGTGGGGAACAGAACAGTTGCGGGAGCGACCAGGCAGGCCTGCTGTGGAGGAAGGGGCGGAAGGAAACGTGTCTCCACCCTCCTTTGCCGACCAGGGTGTTCCCGCTAGGCCAGGGGCAGAGTCTGGCCTGCACTCTGCCATCTCAGGCAAACCACGAAGCCGCTTGCTGACCTCAGAACCCGCCGTGGTAACCTCGCCCAAGCCGCAGCACCTCCGGGTGTTGCTGTGGGATTGAGCAAGGAAAGACATAGGGGGAAGACAGCGAGGAAATGGGGTAATCTACTCGTTAACGTGGCTGAAAGTGCGCCCCCCGAAACTCTGCTCCACTTACAGGAGGGCACTGGACCCGGAAGTTAACGCCACCTGGGGCTCCCGTATCTGAGCTGGGCCCACTCCAAAGCCAGCTTCCTGCACACCTTGGGAGGCAGCAAGAAATGTCTCAAGTACTTGACTCCCTGCCACGCACTTGGGAAACCAGGATCGAGTTCTCCACTCCCTGGTATTTGGGGAGTGAACCATCAAATGGGAGGTCTCTCTGCCTCTCTAAATCAATCATAAGTAACGTTTGTATTGAAATTTATAATTTATAAGGCAATTTTATGTGCATTTATTCTATTTTATTTTTGAAGATTTATTTTATTTGAAAGGCAGAGTTATAGAGAGAGATCTTCCATTCACTGGTTCACTGCCCAAATGGCCACAATGGCCAGAGCTGGGCCAATCCAAAGCCAGGAGTCAGGAGCTTCTTCTGGGTCTCCCACGTGGGTGCAGGGGCCCAAGCACTTGGGCCATTCTCCACTGCTTTCCCAGATGCATTAGCAGGGAGCTGGATCAGAAGTGGAGCGGCTGTGAAACAAGCCAGCACCCATATGAGAGGCAGGCACTGCAGGTGGTGGCTTGACCTGCTACGCCACAGCACCGGCCCTAGCATTTATTCTATTTTGCCTTCAAAACAGCACACAGTAGGTCTTGATCACTTGCTCCAGTAACACTTCAGGGTAACCAAGATTGAGAGAGCCTGAGCGTCTCAGTCAAGTTCACAGCCTCTGTGTGGGCCGGGGGTACACTGAGTCCTTGGTTCTTACTCTCTCGCCGACACTGGGCTGCCTCCCTCCAAAACGCCTCATCGCCAAAACATTAATAGTATTATCATAACCATTAGGAATGCCCGGTATGTATGTTTCCCTTCGATCAAGGTCACAGACAGACAGGGGCTCTGAAGAAAACGCCTGACACACACGAATGCCAAGTTCGCCTTCTCGGATGAAGGAAAAGTTGCCGTCCCCATCTGATTTACATTTTTCTGCCATGCAGCAGGAAATATTTAAGTTGACAGATTGGATATTTACCACTCAACAGACACTTGGCAGTGAATTTGGAGCCATTGTTGCAAATGTGATTTATTTGCTATTATAAAAGGGCATTTCCTGGGCAAATACCACTCCTGAAATTAGCTCCAGTTTAGCAAGGGGCCTCAAGAACTTGACCTCTTAATATCCTCCTAATGATGCCATTTACATTCAGTGCTCACTCACTGCTAGATCCGGGGAGGAGGAGCCCACTCCGGGGCTGACGCGTGATGTGTCTCGACACGCAGAGTCGGTGAAGGGGGCGCAGGAGGGCCCCCTGGAAGGAAGAAGTGTTTCAACAAGTCGTCGCGCAAATGTGTGCGTCTCCAACTTCCGACGGTGAGACTGCGTTACTGCTGACTCCAGCCTACTCCAGGAGGGCAACAATTCACGTTTTCTCCGCCACGAGGCGTTTGCGTGGCACAGATCGGATCAGATGCGAGCATGGTCTGACCCTCCGCCTCTTTAGCTTGGAATTGGACTGGAGGATCGGCGCAGGGGACAGACTGGCTGGGCCGGGATCTGTGCGTCTCCTCCAGCAGGGAACGGGAAGAGGGTGGTGGGCTTGGAGCCGGGCAGAACTGGATTCGTATCCCAGCACCGCCACTCCCTGGTGTGTGGACCCAGATACTTCCCCGAGGCGCTGCTGCTTCACCTGTGCCATGTGACGCTGCCATGCGGGCCGTCGGCTCTGAGATGTTTGCAAAGCACCTGGCACCCTGGAGCCCCTCAACACAAAGGAGCCGGTCCTCTTTTCACTGCTTGTTCAAAGTTCAGATGCTGGGGGCCAGCTCCATGGCACAGTAGGTTAATCCTCTGCCTGCGGCACTGGCATCCCATATGGGCAGCGGTTCTAGTCCCAGCTGCCCCTCTTCCAATCCAGCTCTCTGCTGTGGCCTGGGAAAGCAGGAGAAGATGGCCCAGGTCCTTGGGCCCTGCACCCGCATGGGAGATTGGGAAGAAGTACCTGGCTCCTGGCTTCGGATGGGCGCAGTGCCAGCCATTGCGACCGTCTGGGGAGTGAACCAATGGAAGGAAGACCTTTCTCTCTGTCTCTCTTTCACTGTAACTCTACCTCTCAAATAAATAAATAAAATCTTAAAAAAAAAAAAAAAAAAGTTCAGATGCTTTCGTGGTGCACCATGGCAAGCAAACCCAGTCTGTCTCTGGTCTGCTTACACTGTGCTGTCATGAACTGAATGTGTCCATCATCACCCTCCCGATGGCAGAACCTGTGCCTGCCGTTGGCCCTGGACGCTGTAGTGGCCTCCACAATGACACACCTGGGGAGGAGGATTCACTGCGGGGGTGGGCACTGACGGGGGCCATGGGAGAGGGGAGCGGGAGCGCGTGACCTACTTCTGTCATCGCCAGTGTAACATGTAGTAGATGCTCACTAAACGTTTGTCACGGGGATTAACAGACACTACTCAGCTACCTAGGAACTGACGGTGACGTAATCAAGGCGTCTGTTTACGGAAGCCTCTGGATTTTTGCTGCGTGATCGTGCCCTTCCAATAATCCTGGGGTACACGCAGGACAAGGTGCGGTCACTGGTTGACCACTAAGGGAAACTCGTCTTAAGTATGGCGTTGAGATTCCCAGAGAGGCCGTCGTCGGGGGGGTCTCCCACTGTCCAGGCAGGCTGCCCGCTTCTTAACCCGACATGCCCGTGCTCGGACCCTCTTCTCTTCTCCACTTTGGTTCCCAGCCTGCTGAAGCTGCTGGCCGCTGTCGCTGTCTCAGGAGAAGCATTGCGCTGGGCACCTCGGAGATGCCACACCTGGGGCAGGAAAAGCAGGTCCCTGGGAGCGCTTCAGGGGCTGCGTGCCTGGGTTACGCTGCCTCGGCCAGCATTTTCACACCTGTGAATCTCAGGATTAGGATCAGGTCCCAGCCGCTCGGCCGAAGGGTGTAGACACCCAGTCAAAGCCAGCTACTCCGTGAAGTCTCATGGTCGGGTTGTGGTGGTGGGGCGAGGGGGTGCGGGGCTTTCTCTCCCATTTGCCAGCCTCACCCCTGACTTCCACGGCTCCTCTTTCACTCAGGTGTGGGCAACGGGCCTCAACCTCTCCTACAGCGACCAGCTGGCCCTGACGCAGCTCACCTTGTACCTGACCAGTGGCCGCCTGGACTGCGGGCAGAGCACCCTGGAGGTGCCCCGCTTGGTTCTCAAGAAGGAGAAGAAGAGGAGGTTCCTTCGCAATCTGCCAGTGCTGGTAAGCAGGCGCCCGGCCATTCTGCATGTTCAGCGGGACTCCCCGGCCACCTCCTCAGCCCTTGTGTGCCGAGGCCCTTTGGGGAGTGGTAAGGACCGAGGGCTCACCGGCCACAAGCCTTCTGAGATGTGTCCGGGGACATGCAAGCGCGTGGTCAGAGAGCGGAGCGGGTGGTTCAGGGAGGGGGCAGCCCTGCCGGCGAGCGTGGAAGAGCCTGGAGGGTTCTGGGTTTTGTTCCCCACCGCAGTTCTCTTCGCCCTTCCCTGGCCCAGCAGTTCACCCACTTGCTGCTCGGGTTCCCAGAAGGTTCCGACAGAACCCATCTTTTTCCAGCCCTGATCTTTCTTTTGAGCCTCGGACTCCTGGAAGGATATTCCACAGAGCTCTGGGACAATGAAGCCTTGCAAAGCCACGTTCATCCCCTTCCTTGTGCCACACTGTGCTTGGTGCTCAGCCTGCAGTGTGCTGACATCCCCAGCCCCACCCTGACAGCCACTCGGTCACCAGGTCTGGTGGGTCCTGGCTGCCAAAATGCCCCAGAGGTGATCTCTCACCCCCCACAAAGGCACAGTCTCAGTTTTGGCTTTCAGAACCTCACACTAGTAATATTTTTTTGTATTTTAATGTTTATTTATGTAAAAGTTACAGGGAGAAAGAGAGAGAGATCTCCCATCTGCTGGTTCACTCCTCAAATGCCCACGACAGCCAGAGCTAAGCCAGGCTGAAGCCAAGAAGCCCAGAACTCAACCTGTCTCCTACAGGGTGGCAGGGTCCCAAGGACTTGAGGCTGGCATTAGCATTAAAACAGCTTTTCCTAAGATCCTTGCAAATCTGAGCCTGTCGCTCCCCTCCTTCGGATATTGGAATGATTTCTGTAATTACAGGAAAACCCCAACTTCCCGGCTTGCTTCCTCCTGCCACGGCCACAGCCTTCCTTCTCACCATGAACCCCATCGGTAGTGTGACTGGGGCCAGGGCCCTGCAGCCGGTGAAGGTTTACCCGCCGGCACACACATACCAGCACCCTGGGTGACAAGGGTGGACCTCGGTGGGGGAGTAGGCACCTGCTGGAGCAGGCTACATTAGTCACGGGGACAGAGAACCAAGGTCAAGGGGACCGGGTGTCCCATGGCGTGAGAGTGCTTCCGCTCTCTCCAGCACCGGTGGGCTTCAGGCTCTCTTTGCAAAGGAAATGCCCCTTGGAATCCACACGTGGTAGACAAAGGGACACCTGTGGTTAACAGGCCCCACCCAGGTGTCCCAGAAGCACCTTTATCCGAGCAACTCCTGCCTTCCTGCTCCGGGAGCCACCTTGCCTCTGGCCAGGGTCCCCACGGTCACTCCCAGGAGGGCTGTCCTCTGGGGTACAGCACAGACCTGGCTCCTGGAATCTCCTTGATCTCTTTAAAAAGAGAAGCACAAATGGGTGGGAGTGGGGGGGGAGCAGAACCTTGCTGAGACTCTCCCAGGTCCGACTCCTCCTGTGGCCTCCCTTATCACCAAGGCTCAGTGCCAGGGCGAGCGACAGCACCACAACTCGAGGCCCTCGTAGTGAGCCAAACTCCAGGCCACCTCTATAAGGGAGCTGGAAGCTGAGTTAGTATTCAACGCGAGACGTGCCAAGGCAATCTGCTGTCTTTAAGTGTGTTCCCGCAGAAGGCCGGGAGCCCGGGCTGTGCTCAGAATCGGAAGCAGGCTCCGGTCCCCACTCCTCTTGCCTGTAGGTTTCATTCCTAGCTTCAGGCAACATCCGGGAATTCTCCTGCGATCAAGGGTCTTAAACACTTTTAGGAACTGCGTTATGATCTGCAATAATTCAAACGTCTCTACAATCACCGAGGAAAAGCGAGGCAGGCTTTCTGATGCGGGGATAAATTGAAAGTGCTTTGGGTTTCAGAAAGATAAATGGATGTTCTCAGCCTGGTGCCACGGCGCCTGGGTGCACGGACGCTCCCCAGCACGCACACCCGCGATGAGGCCCGGTTTTAAAAGGCGCGTGTTCGGATGTATACACAGCATGCTTCACACCCAAACTAAAGCCCCCTGAGCAGGTGTGAGCAACCCGCGGGGCGTCAGGGTCACCGTCAGGCAGGTGTCGGCACCCGCTTTGGAGACGGAGGGAAAAGGAAAGGCTTGGATGGGAGTGCGGGGACAGCCAGGGCGCTGTCAGAGTCACAGAACAGTGGGCGATGCAAGCAAACCTGGCCCTCGCTGGATGTTCAGGAACAGGTGGCAGGGCCGGGGAGACAGGAGGCCGGCGGGACCGGCTTCTGACGCAGGCTCCTCTACAAACCACAAACGCCCACCTGATGGTGTAAACAGGGTCTGAGGAATCCCAGACATGAAAAGGCATCACCTTACAACTCTGGAACTTTTAATTAACCTCCTGCCAGAAATGGCATAAATGGTTAACCCTCTTCTATCCGTCCTCTCTCGCTCGCTCGCTCAAGCTCGCTCTCATTCGCTCGCTCTCTCCACGCCCTACAGCGCGTTGGTGAGCGGCCGAAAGGGAGCATCTTTCAAACATCTTAAAGCAACCCAAGTCGTTTATATGCATTTTAACCGCACATGATCCGTAATGAATGATTAAGTAAAACCTTTTGTGTTAAATTATGATGTTAATAATGAGTCTGTCGCCGGTAATTTATTATGAATTCTCGAACGCTTCGGGTTTGATTTTGATAGAATGCAACAACAACGGGGTTTGCGTGATGACTTTATTTTTAGAACTCCTTCTTTGGGGGGGTGCCTGCGTTCCTCGCGACGGCTGCTACTGTAATTATGTATAAAACCAATCACTCATTAGAGTTAGGATACATTATCTTCCAGACAGACGAGGCTAAATAAGCAGCACATTAATAATGCAGAGAGCAGTTCATTATGCATGCGGATGCCTGCTCCGTAACTCAAACAAGAGCTCATCAGCCCCTGCCAACCCTTAAACAATAGTTCTGTGTTATTGCAGCCACACTCAAGTTTACGCTTGTTAAACTGCTACTTGGATTATTTTATCAAACGTGCATTTATTTTGTGGGTCCCCTTACTGCCGGGAACAGATTTTGGAAGCTCCTTTTTTTTTTTTAAGTTAATGATTTGAGCAATGGGTGTTATTAATTCTCAGAATATTATCAACATGATTAATTTTCAGGCAGAGATTTATTGCATAAGGATTTCAACTATGTCAACGGAAATGCATCACTGTCAAAACAAGTATCATGGCGAAAATAGAAGGCGCGCCACACTCCAAGCGCCGGCGCTCAGAACGGAATCAATTTAAATTGCGGCTGAAGCAAAATTATATTCTCCAGTGAAAAGGAGGATGTCGGGCTTCCTTTATTTAGCTGGAAGCACTCTCGTTAGATTGTGATTTAGGAAGGTAGCTTAACGAGACCAGGCGTCCACCCATCACGCCGCGCCCACTCTTCATCGCCCGGATTCGCTAGACCAGGTCCACTTCTGGACTTCCCCCATGTACGTCCTCGCCGTGGCCCCCAGCCTGGGAGTCGGGGGCCAGGAATTACCACCTCATCCCATGGCCTCAGCTGCCCCGTCTGTAAGCCAAGGGAGGGCTGAACGACCCCCAGGGCCTCCTGGGGGACTTGATTTTATTGTGGCGCCCACAGGATGGAGCTCTGTCCCAGCCCTGCCCTGGGCAGCCTCGCGTGCTGTGCTGTAGGGCGGCCCACAGGCTTTGAGGAGTCCCAGCAGGGCCCGGGCCCATCCCGCAGTGCTGCAGCCTTCCCCTCTTCTTCTTCTTTTTTTTTTTTTTTTTAAGATTTATTTATTTATTTGAAAGTCAGAGTTACACAGAGAGAAGGAGAGGCAGAAAGAGAGAGAGAGAGAGAGAGAGTCTTCCATCTGATGGTTCACTCCCCAGATGGCTGCAATGGCCGGAGCTGCACCAATCGGAAGGCAGGAACCAGGAGCTTCTTCTGGGTCTCCCATATAGGTGCAGGGACCCAAGGACTTGGCCATCTTCTACTGCTTTCCCAGGCCACAGCAGAGAGCTGGATCGGAAGTGGAGCAGCCAGGACTAGAACTGGCGCCCATATGGGATGCCAGCGCTTCAGGCCAGGGCGTTAACCTGCTGCGCCACAGCACCAGCCCCAGCCTTCCCTTCTGAAATGGTCCTTGTCTTGCAGAATCTTTTAGGAGTAATATTGTGGCCAGGTCGTGTGCCAGGTCGTGTCCCAAGTCCCCGCCAGCCATCACCCTCACCGTCAGGAACCGTCTGGAAGTAAATGCTTGTTGAACTGTACTCAGCTCCTACTCTGCGCCAGGCATCCTGCCAAGTCCAGAGGACGCAGAGACGGGTAGCAAAGAGCTCACAGAATTACAGAGGAGAAACGGGGTGGGGGTGTGTATGTGGGGGTCTTCCATCCGCTGTTCACTCCCCAAATGGCCGTAATGGCTGGGGCTGGGCAAGGCAGAAGCCAGGAGCCAGGAGCGTCATCCGGGTCTCCCACATGGGTGCAGAGGCCCAAGCACTTGGGCCATCTTCAGCTGCTTTCCCAGGCGCATCAGCAGGGACTTGGATTGGAAGCAGAGCAGCCAGGACTTGAACCGGCATCCATATGAGATGCCACGTTAGCAACACTAATAAGTGCTTATGAGAATCTTTATATAACCCAATATATGAAGCAGGCACTGTGACTACCTTTCCAGTTTTGGAAGACTGAGGTAGATTGAAGCAAGCTGTCCGAGGTGACTAAGCAAGCACGTGGTGGAGCCTGATTTAACCCCGGAGCTGCCACACTGAGAGCCAGTGTGTTCCATCCCAGTGGCCTGCCCCCTGCCGCGCACTGGCTGAGCGCCACAGGGGTCCAGCTCGGGGTGGGCAGGGGCAGGGGGTGGGGGACATAAGCTCAGCTCTAAAGCATTCTCTGGTCAACACCCAGGAGAAAACTCTCCCCAAAAAGAGCTCTTTCCCCCAGGGTGCTGAAACGTGGAATTGAGAGATCCAAGGGCGTTAAGCATTAAGTGCTTCAGCTCCAAATGGC